CTGGGCCATCCGGCGTGGGGAAACGCGCCATTGGCGAGGGGCCAGGGCCGCTGCGCGGCGGCGGCCCTGGGCCATTCTGCGGGGAAAAACACGCCACGCCGCCTTGGGCCATTCTGTGTGGGGGGAAACACGCCATGGGCGAGGGGCAGGGTCGCCGCGCGCCTTGGGCCATTCTATGTGGGACTTTATGGGCGAGGGGCAGAGCCGCTGGGCGCGCGGCGGCCCTGGGACACCCTGCATGGGAAAAGCTAGAAGCGAGAGGGCACCCTGCGTGGGAAAACGCGCTGTCAGCGAGGGGCAGGACCGCCGCGCGCGCGGAGGCCACATGGGCTATTTTGCATTGGAAATCGTCGCATGGGCGAGGGGCAGGGCCACTCTACGCTGGAAAACACATTGTGGGCGAGGGGCAGGAGCGCCGCGTGGGCGGCGGCCCTGGGCCATTCTTCTGTGGAAAACATTGCATGGGCGAGGGGCAGGGCCGCCGCGCGCCTCCAGCCACTCTGGGTGGATAACACATTATGGGCGAGGGGCAGGGCCGCCGCGCGCGCGGCGGCCCTGTGCGACCCTGCGATGGGAAACACGTTATGGGCGAAAGGGCACTCTGCGCTGGAAAACGCGCTATCGGCGATGGGTAGGACCGCCGCGCGCGCGCGCGCGGCGGCCCTGGGCCTACTACTCTGCGTGGGAAATCACGCTATGGGCGAAGGGCAGGGCCGCCGCGCGCACGGTGGCCCTGGGCGACCCTGCGCTGGGAAACACGCTATGTGCGAGGGGGCACCCTACGCCGGAAAACGCACAATCGGCGAGGAGCAGGAGCGCCGCGCCGCGCGGGCGGCAGCCAGGCCTACTCTGCGTAGGAAAAGCCGGTATGGCCGCTATGGGCGAGGGGCAGGGCCATTCTGCATAGGAAAACACATTGCGAGGGGCGGTGCCGCCGCGCGAGCGGCCTTGGGCCTTGGGCCAGTCTGCGTGGGAAGCGCGCTATGCGCTATGGCCCATAGCGCATAGCGCGCTTCCCACGCAGCCTATGGGCGAGGGGCCCTTTGCGCGCGGCGGCCCTGGCCCACACTGCGAAAGAAAAACGCGATGGGCGAGGGGGCGCCCTGCGCGGGAAAACGCGCTACCGGGGAAGGGCAGGGCCGCCGAGCGCGCGGCGGCTTCGGGCGCATAAGAAAACACGCTACGAGCGAGGGGCAGGGCCACTCTGCGCTGGAAAAGACATTATGGGCGAGGGGCAGGGCCGCTGCGCGCGCGGTTGCCCTGGGCGACCCTGCGCTGGAAAAGCGCTATGGGCGAAGGAGCACCCTGCGTGAGAAAACGCGCTGTCGGCGAGGGGCAGGACCGCCGCGCGCGCGCGCGGCGGCCCCGGGCGCGTAGGAAAACACGCTATGGGCGAGAGGCCTCCTTGCGCGCAACGGCCCTGGGCCACTCTGCGTGGGAGGGCCGCCATGGGCGAGGGGCAGGGCCGCCGCGCGCGCGGCGGCCCTGGGCGACCCTGCATGGGAAAACACGCCATGGGCGAGGGGGCACCGTGCGTTGGAAAACGCACAACCGGCGAGGGGCGGTACCTCCGAGCGCGCGGCGGCCCCGCGCTACTCTTCGTGGGAAAACACGCCATGGGCGAGGGGCAGGGCCATTCTGCGCAAGAAAACGCATTATCGGCGAGGAGCAGGACCGCCGCGCGCGCGGCGGCCATGGGTTACTCTGCGTGGGAGAACGAGCTATGGCCGAGGGGCATGGCCGCCGCGCGCGCGGCGGCCCTGGGCACTTCTGCAAGGGAAAACACGCCATGGGCGAGGGGCAGGGCCGTTGCGCGCCTTGGAGGGCCTTGGACCACCCCGCGTTGGAAAACAAATTACGGACGAGAGGGCCCTGGGCGACCCCGCGTGGGAGAACACACCATAGGCGATGGGGGCGCCCTTCATGTGAAAACGCGCCATCGGCGAGGAGCAGGACCGCCGCGCGCGCGCACGGCGGTTTGGGCTATTCTGCATGGGAAACCACGCTATGGGCTATGGCAATGGGCGAGGGGCAGGGCCACTCTGCGCAGGAAAACACATTATGGGCGAAGGGCAGGGCCGCCGCGTGCGCGGTGGCCCTGGGCGACTCTGCGCAAGAAAAACGCTATGGGCGAGGGGGCACCCTGCGCAGGGAAACGCGCTATCGGCTATCGGCGAGGGGCAGGGCCGCCGCGCGCGCGGCGGCCCTGGGCACTTCTGCAAAGGAAAACACGCCATGGGCGAGGGCGGCGAGGGGCAGGGCCGCCCTGGGCCCCAGGGCGAAACATTGCGTGGGGAACTCTGCGTGGGATGGATGGATGGATGGATGGATGGATGGATGGATTGATGTATTGATGAGGGAGGTGGGGCAAGGATGGGGAATAGGCGGGTGAGGAGGAGGAGGAGGAGGAGGAAGGAGGAGGGAGGAGCGACAAGGAGGAGGAATAAGCAGAAGAGGAGGAGGAGGAGGAGGAGGAGGAGGAGGAGGAGGAGGAGGGCGAGCAGAAGGGCCTGAGGCCTCTTGGGGCGTCTTGGGTGTCTCTTGGCGGTCCCGGCGGCCCCGTGTGGCGTACCTATTGGGTGCCTCTGGGGGGCCTCTTGGGGCCTCTTGGGGGCCGCTTGAGGGCCTCTTGGGGGCGTATTGGGGGCCTATTGGGGCCTTTTGGGCGCCTTTGGAAGCCATCTTGGGGCCTGTTGGGGGCCTCGGAGGCCTTCTTGGGACAATCTTGGAGGACATCGATCAAAGAGGTGGGCCCTGCGTAATTAGTTTCCCCCTCTTGAGCCCCACAACTCGCCTCTTGGTTCTTGGGTGGGTCTTTCTTGGGGCGCTATTGGGGCATTCGCGGGCCTCTCGTGGGGCCCTCTTGGGCCATCTTGGAATCATCTTGAGGCCTCGGGGGCCCATCGGAAGCGAAGGGGCGATAAGGCCAGCGCCTCGGGCATTCCACGTTCGAGGGGGTGGGCAAAATCAATAACAAAAATAACAAACTACCCTAAAAATTCTAAAAAAACAACAAACAAAAAAAAAAAAACAAACACTCAAAACAAAAATATCTAACTCTATAAAAACCAACATATACAAAAAAAAAAACACTTTCAAAAAAACATTTTACTAACCCAGATAAAATTCTAAAACATCAACAACATAAACGTAACGAAGCACGTGTGAGAGCGGGAGCTAACCTACTCACGCTCCCAGAGGCGGTAGAACGCTGAATCCGCCGAAGCACCCATCTCACCTCACTCATTGATATTTGTTTGGTCATGGAATTGTTTGGGCATCTTGGGGGCCTCCCTGGGAGTCTCCGTGGCCACTTGCGCCCATCTTGGGGCCATCATCATGGGGCTTTTTGAAGGCATCTTGGAGGCCATATTGAGCCAACTTGCGCCAAATTGCGCTATCATGGAGGCCATTTGATAGCATTTGGGGCAATCGTGGAACCCTCTTGGGCCAAAAGCGACAAGCTAATATTTCAATGTCCTCTGTTGATATGGGAGGGGGGGGGGGCTAATTTAGCGCTGCCTGTTCGGGGCGCTCTTGGATCGCTCTTCGACGCCCTTGGGGCCGTATTGGGGCATTATTGGGCCTCTCTTGGGGCTTCTGGGGCCATTTGGGAGCCATCTTGAGGCCTCGGGGGGCCATCGGAGCCGAAAGGGCGAGAATGCCAAAGTTATTTAATCGCTTCGCTCATTCCGCCAGCCCGTCTTGTAGCATCGCTGGCGCTTGCCTGCGCCCGCGTGGGCATTTTGGGAGCCTCCTGGGGCCTCTTGGGGGCTTCTGGGGGTGGTCTGGGTGGCCTCCTGGGGGCCTCCTGGGGGCCGCTTGGGGGCCGCTTGGGGGCCTCGTGAGGCTCTCTCGGGGGCTCTTGGGAGCCTCTTGGGGCTACTTGGGGCTTCTAGGGGCCTCTTGGGGGCGTGTTTGGGCATCGGCAGCGAAAGGGCGAGAATGCCAAAGTTATTGATTTTCTGTTGGTTTTTGAAAGATGTTGGCCTCTTGGGGGCCTCCTTGGGAGGCTCCGGCGCCTCTTGGATCCGTCTTGGAGTGTTCTTGGGGCCTCCTGGAGCACATCGGCAGCCATCTTGAGCGATCCTGGAGTATTTCGGGCCATATAGGAGGTAGTCTTGGGTTTTCGGAGGCCCTTTTGGAGCCATCTTGGGCCATCGTGGGCGCTCCAGCCCCTCGCGGCCCCCCCGTCCGGGTCCAGGGCGAGGGGGTAGGGGAAGGAGAGGGTTGGAAGAGGAACCGTTCTAAATAAACCATATCCGCTCTAAAGGGCTGGTGGGATTTCTGGTGGATCGTGGCCTTTAGGGCGCGGGCCTATCACATGTTACAGTTGTGGGCCCCCAACCATGCATTGTGAATCGCTGCCCTGAGGGCGCGGTCCCATGGCATTATAGGATGGGGCGTCGGCTCGCAGGTGGCCGGCGGTCGCCATTCCACGCCACAGTTACGACATCCACGATTGTTCTCAGCCTGGCAGCGCCGCAGAGGGGCCGGAGGAGTTGCACCTAGTCTCCATGAGTCGATGGTTCTTGCGTTGGTTGTCCATGGGTCGGGGGCCGCTGTTGGGGGCCGCGCAGTTCGGTTGCCCGTGGGTTGGTGGCCCGTCGGCATGTGGCCCCTGTTGGACCCAGCTTTGCCGGGGACAAGCCGCGGCAAAACCTAGAATGCCCGGCATTGCTGGCAGCGCAATGTGGCCCACTTGACATGGACAGTCCGAGTGCTGTGGGGGGCAATTGAAATATGATTCCGCGGCGTTCAGGGCCAAATCCTGCCTGCGAGTGCTGGAGGCGCATCCCCCCTGTCGCAGGAAACATCATGTCCTACCAACAACTTCTCTCTCCGTCTCTCTCTTTCTCTCTCTCTCTCTCTCTCTCTCTCTCTCTCTCTCTCTTTGCGTCGCCCTCCCCCTCCTCAACACGGGCCTCTTCTGCGACGGTGCACGGGGGATCGTGTCCGCCCCGCGCCATGGGGGCGATTTGCTTGTAGCGCCCCTCCAGGCCAGCCGACAGGGAGCTCATCGCCCAGTCAATCGTCAGCGACCCTGACTGCATGTACGACCACTTCTCAGCGTCGCACATCCGTGCTTACCCCGATTTGCTGTCGAAGGACTCCATGGCCATCTTGCGGGCGGCTGCCAAGCTTCTAGACGTTGGCATCCCCAACATAGAGGCCCGTCATGCTAGTTTACGGCGATTGCAAATCATGGGATCCGGCTCCTGGGCAACGCACGCGTCCAATCTGAACGGGTATTTCGTGTTGGCTCGGCATCGCATCAGCGTGCGTCGCAACATGCGTTGCCTCAGCACTGCGAGGCCGCCTCGACCCTCGAAGAGGAAAAGAGCAGATCCCAGAGAGAAAATGGCAGAGAAGGCGGCGGGTAGCCAGTCCAAGCATATCAGGAAGAGGATCAAAAATAAATGGCTGTGGAGTTGGGGTGGCGGGCCGCGGCGCGTGTTCTGCCACGAGCAACTGACAGGGGCGAGGGGCAAACCCAGCCCACTTACTCTGCGCCGCCTCTCAGCTAGATATAGGGCTCTGCCGCCCGAGGAGATGGCCAGATTACGGGCAGTTGGCATAGAAAAGACGATTCTTCGGAGGCGTGTCATCGGCAACATTTTCCCGAGCGCCGCCAGCCTGGAAGATGGCCTTGCCCAGGGCCAGGGCGCGATTGTCGCTTCGTCTGGCTTCCAGGGCGTCCTCGATCGCATTCGGGACGCCCATGCCTCCAAGACCCGAGAGGCTGCGGACAAAGCTGCACAAGATATGCGGTGCCTCATGGCCTGGGGGGAGGCGGCGGCTGCGGAGTCGAACGACTTGGCCTTGCTGTGCGGCGGCGGCCGCGAGGGATGCGCAACCTGTTTTCCCGATGCAGGCGGTGCCCTGAATATCGACATCGAATTTCCCATACAGGAGATGACCCAGCACGTGCTTTCCGTGGCGCCCCCGGGTTTCGCACTGAAGCTGAGGGAGCAGTGGAGCGCGCTGCAGGAGCCCTTTCGCCACGCCAAGTGCAGCCCGATCGGCCACATACCCGACAGGTTCTTCCGGCCGAACCTCTGCAACTTGGCCGGGATGTGCCTCCATCGCGCCCCGTACTTGGCAGCTTTTGAGTGCGCCTTCGTCGTGAAGTTGGCGAGGTTGTTCGGCGCGAAGACATTGAGCAGGCGCCTGCTGACGAAGGCGTGTGTCGTCTTCAGGGTTGCCTGGCCAGACGGTGCGCGCTGGTACCACTGCAGCTACACGAACCTGGCGCATGGCGCGTGGCGCTTGGCTTTACTGCGCCTGTCGGATGATGGGGGCCCCTTTCGCGTCGAGCGGGCACGGCCAGGCGTCGCCTTGACCGCCCCAGTGCGTGCACAATGGGTGTTGTCGTGGCGGGCGTTCGAAGATCTCCCCTTCGAGCATGCGTTCACGGTGGAGACGTTCCGGCTTTTTGCGTCGGCATCGGACATCCGGGTGCACTTTCGCATCGGCAACTTGAGCGCCCGCCCGTACTTGCCCGCCGTTGAGTTCTGGAGAGGCAGCGCAAATGAGCAGCCCAGGCCGCCGCCGCCGCTGCCGCCTGGCAGCCGGCCACCCGACCCGCTGGACGACATAGCTGGGCGGCGCGCAGAGGCTGCGGCCGATGACGGCGCAGACGGCGATAGCCACGATTCCGGCGACGCAGCCTTCGATGACTTGTTGGACGACATGCACGACCTCGACGCAGTCTGCCCGCCAGGAGGCGGAGACGAGGGCGGCGGGCAGTTCGGCCTGGATGACGGCGGGCTTTTCGGCGCGGTGGAGCCGCCGCCGCCCCCGCCAGCGGTGGAGCCGCCGCCGCCCCCGCCAGCGCCGGCCCCGCCGGCGCCAGCCCCGCCGGGAGCTGCGCCGCCAGCACCGCCGGGAGCTGCAGCTGCCCCGCATGGCCCCCCGCCGCCACCCGGCCCCGCCGGTGATTGGAGGACAGTGCAAGTGCCTGGGGGCGAGCTGCAGTTCTCCGTCAGGCTGAAGCAGCGCAATGCACACTGCAAGAGAGGCCATCAGGTTGGCTCTGCGCGGTGCAAGATGGACCGCCGCCTCAAACTAGAGGACGGCCGGCGCCGGTTTCTTGTAATTTCTTGTCGCTTTTCTTCTCCCCCCTCCTCCCCCCCTTCCTTCCTTTTCTTCTTTCTTTCTTTCTTCTTTTCTTTCCTTCCCTTTTTTTAGTTTTCTTTTTTTCTCTTTTTTTTTTCCCCCCTTTTGTTTTTTTCCTCCCCTTCTTTTATCCCCTTTTTGTCCCGCTTCTCCCTTCCCTTTTTCCGCCCCCCCTCCCATCCCCTCCTTTGTTTTTTTTCTTTTTTTACTTCCCCTTCCTTCTCCCCCTTTCCCCCCCCCCCCCCCCTTCATCCCTCCCCCCCCCTAGGGCACCTCATGGCGTGGCTTGCCAGGCCGTGCGGCGACAAGCCGGCGCATGATGCGTTGAAGGCCGAGCTCGGCAAGGCCGCCCATCGTGCCGAGCGCATCAGTGGCCGGAATGACCTCGAGGCAATATCATTAGAGGACAGCGAGAACGGCCGTCTGGCCAAGCAGCTAATTGACATGGAACGGGAGGAGGGCGGCTTCGCTGGCGAGCCTGTTGCAATCCGTTGATTGTCAGCGATATCATCATCATCATCATCATCATCATCATCATCATCATCATCATCGTCGCCCCTCCTCATCATCAACATTCCCCTCCTCCTTCCCCTCCTCCCACCTCATCCTTCTCCTCCTCCTCCTCCTCCTGTGGTCGCGTGCGTGGTGATGCACAGCGCACCGCTGTCCTCGAGGGCCACCGAGATGGAAAGCGAAACAGTGAATTGAATTGCCAACTTGCCTTGAGGTCGGCGCCCCAAGACGACAGCAGCACCAACGCGCGGGCGCCTGTGCATGCACGCGCGCAGACACACAAGCACACAATAACCCAACATAGAGAACAACCGCCAGGGCAGAAGAGGGCAGGGAGGGGAAGTCGGGGGGAAAAAAAAAACAAGAGGGCAGGGACAGGGGCACGGAGATTCAAAGTAGCAAGCCCCCCTCCTTCATTTTCAATCCCGCCCCTCCCCTTTCGGGGGGCCTCCGTCTGCGTTCGACCCCCGTCCCCAAGGGCCCTGACGGTGTGTGTGTGCGTGCGTGAGTGCTCTAGCATTCTAGCACACGTACGAGTTACCAGTAACGGTGTGTGTGTGCATGTGTGTGTGTTCCAGGACACTTACAAGTTACCAGTCACAGTGTGTGTGAGTGTGTCAAGGGCACTTACGAGTTACCAGTAACGGTGTGTGTGTGTGTTTGTGTGTGGGTGTGTTCCAGGACGCGTACTAGTTGCCAGTAGCGGTGCGTGTGCGTGTGTGTGTTGGGTGTGTGTGTGTGCGTGCGTGCGTGTGTGTGTGTGTATGTGTCTGTGTCTGTGTGTGTTCCAGGACGCGCACGAATTACAAATAACGGTGTGTGTGTGTTCCAGGACACGTACGAGTTACCAGCAAAGTTGTGTGTGCGTGTGTTTACCAGTAACAGTGTGTGCGTGTGTGTGTGTGTGTGTTCCAGGACACGTACGAGTTACCAGTAACAGTGTGTGTGTGTTCCAGGACACATACGAGTTGCCAGTAACAATGTGTGTGTGTCTGTCAGGACACGTATGAGTTACCAGTAACGGTGTGTGTGTGGGTGGGTGGGTGTTCCAGGACGCGTACGAGTTACCAGTAACGGCGTGTGCGTGTGTGTTCCAGGGCATGTACAAGTTACCAGCAAAGTTGTGTGTGCGTGTGTTCCACGACACGTACGAGTTACCAGTGACATTGTGTGTGTGTGTTCCAGGACACGTACGAATTACCAGTAACGGTGTGTGTATGTGTGTTCCAGAACACGTACAAGTTACCAGTAACGGCGTGTGTGTGTGTGCGTGTGTGTGTGTTCCAGGACACGTACGAGGTACCCGTGGCGGTGTGGGTGCGTGCGTGTGTGTGTGTGCGTGAGTGTGTGTGTGTGTGTGCGTGTTCCAGGACTCCCACGAGTTACCAGAGACGGCGCGTGCGTGTTCCAAGAAACGTACGAGTTACCAATAACGGTGTGTGTGCTCGTTGCAGGACACGCGCGAGTCGCCAATAACGGTGTGTGTGTGTGTGTTCCAGGACACGTACGAGTTACTGAGTTACCAGTAGCGGTGTGTGTGCTTGTGTGTGTTCCAGGACATGTGCGAGTTACCAATAACGGTGTGTGTGTGTTCCAGGACACGTACGAGTTACCAGTAACGGTGTGTGCGTGTGTGTTCCAGGACATGTACGTGTTACCAGTAACGGTGTGTGTGTGTGTTCCAGGGCACGTACGAGTTACCAGTAACGGTGTGTTTGGGTTCGTGTACATCGGGGCACGTCGGCTTGTACGTGAGGCTCCCATTGCCCTCGGCGTGCTGGACCTCCCACGGCGCAATCATATAGAAGAAATCCTGCATGCTCATGTCAGGCTTCTTCAAGGGGTCGCCCACCTTCGGGGCACGGCCAGGGTTTGCAAACACAGGCCAGTGGTTGCGCGCGCGGGTCGCCCCCTCCCCCCATACCCCGACCCGCGCGCGCAGTCTTGCGACCTCTGGTTGGGTGCCCCAGCGATACCCCTAGGACCTAAACCTTCAAGTTATCCAACTTCCACTTCTTGCTCGGCATGTCCCCGTTGTACTTCTCCAGGGTATTCAGGAAGTTGTCGAGCGTGCTCTTCGGGATCTCCCGAATGGGCTTCTCGACGATCCCGCAGATGGCATCGCGCACCGAGGTGTGCTCCTTCAGCTTGTCAGCGGTCTCCGAGCCCTCTGGGGCGGGGCTGGCCTCCACGATGCCCTCGTGCGACCCCCTGGCTCAGCGAAGCTGGCGAAGCTCGCGGCCCATGGCCGCGCCTGCCCAGCACCTGCTCGTGTCCAAGCCTATCCACGAGCTCCTCCACCTTGGACTTCTTGGCCTCGGACATGGCGGATCTGGCGTTTCCGCGAGGCCTCGCGCCACGCGTCCTCGGCGGCCTGCACTCGGAGGGGGCGGCGACGGACCGCGAGCAAGCCATCGCCGCAGGATTGAGCTGCGGCCCAGACCCCGCTGCAAGCGCGCCCTGCTGCGGAGCCGCGGGCGAAGGGCTGCCGCCGAACGAGCTCTCGCCACTGGCAGCAACAACCGCATCCTCTGCCTCTT